CTTAACATGAAACACAATTTAATATTTCCACCCATGTTGATGTTAATTCTCTGATAACTACCCACTGGGTGTTGTCATGTACCTTGGTAAAGTGTGCAAGCACCTAGGTCTAAATTTTTTTTAGCTTATAAGTGGGCATATGCACATGAAATAAAATCTAGGGTTTTACTTTTTTGTAGATGATCAGTCTAATTAATCATCTCCCTTTATTTGATCCCTTATTAAAAAGAGAAAATATTCAGTTAGTGTGGTAAAATGCTTTCTTCCAAAGCTGTGGTTTGACAAACTTTCTCTTATTAGAGAGACACTAAGTTTTCTTAATTATAACTCATCAAAATCAAGCTGCTCTGCTCTATCTCTCTGATTTCTACTTTTGATTAGTCCCAAGAAGAAAAGACTTAAACTCTAAAGTTGATACTAGACAATGAGTTCACAATTACAATATTTAGTTTTATTTTTGAAATATAAATACTTACTATGTAAGAGTGTACTGGCAGTTGAAAGCTGTGCTTTAGAGAAGCAGAGAAACTCTTCAGGAAATGAAAACAAGTGTTCCCTAGGGATACTTGCTGAGATCATTCAATTTCTGTCATTCATTTCACGTCAGCCTGAGTTTTCTATTCTATCAGCACAGAGCCTATACAATGATGCCATAACAGAAATAGCCAATTACATTTATTTATAACTTTTACACACTGTAGTGCTCTAATATATATTGTATTTTATTCCTACTGTAACATTATGGGGCAGATAGTTCGCAGTAAGTCCCAAATGATTAGCTCATATAATAAAGAATTCTGAAGAGAAATCATCTACTATGAACTGGGATGTCTGAAAGTAAAACTTGAATGGGATCATGAAGGATAAATATAGATTAGGAAGCTAAAGGAGCATGGAGATGGATATTCTAGGCTGAATAAGAGGTGCAGAAATAAAACTATGCAATGTTAATTTGAGGGAACAGACCTGTTAGAATAGAGCCAGGTAGTTGAAAGTAAGAAAATTAAATGACAAAGAAGAAGGGCTTTGAGGTCTCAGAGCTGGCTTCAAATGTCAGCTCCCAGACACCATTTATTAGCATTATGGCCTGAACAAGTTACTTCCTTCATTTTTTTTTTTTTTTATCCTATAAAGCAGGGGTGATGGTGTCTGCTCCCAGAGATGTAATGAGAATTAGAGGTAACAAGCCTGACACCATGTTTGGCTCACAGTAGGCATCTAAACATGGTAGCTATTAATTAGTATATGTTAATCCACTTTTAGATACAATATATAAAATTTTCCTTATTTGGCAACATGCATTAATTCAAGCCTATCTGCATAAATAGGATACTTGGCACCACAGGGCAGCTGAGTCATAGTTGATAACAGGAGAGATTTTATAATCTGTAACATCCAGCTTCTACTTGGCTAACACACCTTAGGAGAGTGGAGCATTCAGAGACCACGTAACCAAATGAAAGAAAGGGCCGCCCCAAGAAAAGGCCTGGCAATAAATAAAGTCAGGAATATTAAAACCAGATGAGGCTAAAGTGGACGAAAAGAAAATGTAGACATGATGATGACTATGATGACAGAAACAGCTCATAACTGAATATTACTTCGTATTTTCCAAAGTGCTTTTGTATTTATCACCTGATATAACCTTCACCTCTAAAGTAAGAAGGACAGACATTATCTTTTCCTCTTTGGGGGAAACAATAACACAATAAGGTTAGAAGCTTGTCCAAGGTTGATGACTACTGTGGTAGAGCAGAGCTGGGTTGCTACAGCCCACGTCTCCTGATTTCTAGGAAAGTGTATACTATGCTCCTCTGCTTTACTACACAGCTTCTTACCATGGTCTGCACTCCACGAGGAACAAAAAAATGCTTATGCATTAGTCTCCACCAAACAGAAAGATAGCAAGTGCATGCCACAGAATGCTGTAAATGCATAACTAGACCATAGTGAAATTGTTCCATTTTATAGGTAATAAACTGAGATCCAAGGAGACTTAAGCTTAAATAGTTATTGGTAGAGGTTAAACTAGTACAGATCTTTTTCACTATACCAAGATTACTTGCATATAACTAACTTATTTCAACAAAACCCATAAGTGAACCTCAGTCAATAAAATTGGTTTACTGTACCATTCACAACGGAGAGAAAACAGCAAATTAAAGCAATCAATACAACCTAGTTTTAAGAAACAAAATTCAAAAATCTGATGTTTTAAGTAAAATAATATTGTGACTTAGTTGACAGAGAACAATCAGAGTTCCAGCATGAGAAAAGACTAGCAAAATTGTAAAACAAGAATATGAGAAGAAAAATAGACACGGCACTTCACTGAGTTTTTCTCCTCTATAAGTCAACAGGACTATTCAAGTTAAGAAGATCTTCTATTAAGCTATTTTATAAAGTCATTGTTCTCTGTGAGAAGCATGTTTAGAAAAGAGCCACGAGTCAAGGATTGTAGTTATTCCTACCATCACTGGACATATATCTGTCTGGGAAGAATCACTAGTGTCGGTTTTGCTTTGAGGATAGATATCTAAAAAGCCATTTCTACCTTAAAGACCTAAGATGGAACTCCATCCTTTGCTCCCTTCCCCCACCCCCCACACATAACACAACCTGCTCTTCCAGCAATCTTCTCCATCTCAGTAAATGGAAGATTTTGAGTATAGATTTACTCACATAAATGGTAAATATAATACCATAACTGATTAAAGTGTATTTTTAAATTGCCTAAAAAAGAAAACTGAGCAAAGGAAAAAAGACATACAAACCTTCAGTTAACAAATCACACTAAGTGACTGAGTCACAGGCGATAATACTGGGGGTGGGAGGATGATAGGAAAGCAAAGTAAATCTCAGGATAAAATATAAATGTAACACCATTCATGGATTACTAGTAACAAAAATGGTAAGAGCCAATCTTTCATATTTAAGAACAATACTTCAAAGAAGTCATATAATTCCTGAGCAGTATGAAATTTTTCAGAGATTATTTTTAGTGTCTAACTCCATATGATTCCTACCGAGTGGTGCCAAAGTTGTACAGCAATGCTCCAATACTATACAAATCAAATATCGATAGACTTTGCCAACTTAAAAGAAAAAATTATAATGATAAATGAAATTTTCTCAATTTCAAGCTTAAAAAGTAACTTTTCTTAAACTTTAGACACTTGTTACTATTTTAAAGCAGAATCTGGCATAATATGGCATGTTATATAGTGCCAAACTATGCTTAGTCATTTTATATTTAATATGTTAATATTTCAAAGTGTTAGACTAATTGAATTTGAAAACTGGTCTTCCTAGTTATGTAATCTTGGAAAAGTTAGAGAACTTCTCTGTGCTTCAGTTTTCTCATTTGTAAAATGAAGATTGATAATGCTAAACTCAGAAGGGTGCTGTGAGAATAAAATTAGTTAACGAATAGAAGCAATTAAATAATGCCTTGCACAGAGAGAGCACGTGATAACTGTTAGCTGCTATTAGAAATATTAGTATTAATATTATTTTATTATTAAAAGGATATAATGACTTGTATGGGCTTTGAAATAGTTCAATAACTGTCCACTGGTCCAGTCATGTACAAACACTCTCCCTGGCTGGAGAGGATAAAATAAAAACTTCTGAAGTATTAGTTTTCTCACCACTTCATAAATTGCTTGAGGGCTTCCCATATCACATTTATAATACACCAAGTTCTGCCTTGTAGGCTGTAGACATGATATGTAATATTAAATATATAATATTAAATAAATATATAATAAATATAAGTTAAATATATAATATTCTTGTATTCATTCATAGTTTTACATTATACTATATTATACGAGAGTACTTCAAAAAGTTCATGGAAAAATTGAATTAAAAGATAACACGAATCAGGGCCGGCCCGGTGGCGCACTGCTACAGTGCGCCGCTTGGGAGTGCGGCGGCGCTCCCGCCGAGGGTTCGGATCCCACATACAGACCGGTTCCCGCTCACTGGCTGAGCGAGGTGCGGGCGCGACACCGAGGGTTGCGATCCGTTGCCGGACACGAAAAAAGACAAAAAGGAAAAAAGAAGATAACACGAATCTTTCCATGAACTTTTTGAAGACCCCTTGTATTTTATTGCAGTCATCCCTCAGTATCTGTGGGGGATTGTTTCTAGGACCTCCCACAGACACCCAAAATCCACAGATGCTCAAGTCTCTAAAATGGCATAGAATTTGTGTATAATGTATGCATATCCACCATATACTTTAAATCATCTCTATATTACTTATAATATCTAATACAATGTAAATACTACGTAAATACTTGTTATACTATGTTGGTTAGGGAAAAAATGACAAGAAAATAGTCTGTATATGTTCAGTATAGACACAATTTTTTTTTCCTGAATATTTTCGATTTTGGTTGGTTGAATCCCTGAATGCGGATCCCATGAATACAGATGGCTGACTATATTATATTATATTATTATTATTGTCTTGAAAGTACCTTCCCCCCATTCTCCAACCTCAAAATGTTAAAGTTTCATGGTTAATATCAGAGATGTTTTGCAGATGCTGTTCAGGATCACTGATGCCCTCTCATATAATACTAATATTAAAGTTCACACTTTCTTTTAGATTTAACTTTCTAGCATAAAGACAGATTTTTTCTAGCACTTAGGACTTTTAGTTTTGATCTGTCACTCATTGGCTAGTGACATTAGGCAAGTCACTTAATACTACTAAACCTTGATCCTCTCACTCGTAAAACATAACATTTGTCCTTGCCTAGTCACAGGATTATGATGAGATTATAAAGGCAGTTTTTAAAAACTATATGCCCTTTTATAAACAAGAGATTATTTTAATATTTAATAATAATCCAGGCCATCTGAGACAAATTGGTTGGCGCTGCTTATTTCGTAATGACTTACAAGTTGCCATTCATTCTCTTTAAAATATCTGTAACTTAGCAAAGAAGAAATCATCACATGAAATAACAAAGACAGCTTTCACCAACCTGGCCATTTGCTTGTAAGCTTCTTCAGCTACTGCAAAGATATGTGGATCCATGTCGCCCATGTTCTGACCACTATATGCATTAATAATATCTTCTCCATAAATAGGCAGCTGTTCATAAGGATTTATAGCTACTAGGACTATACCTGGGAGAGGGGGACAAAAATGAAAAATAAAAGTCAATAATATCCTAATGGGCACATCAAATTTGGTAGAGACTCACAGTTAACACGAAACGTCATTTCAATTTTAGTTAATATTAAAGCAATAAATTGTTCAAGGATCAAAAGATATTATAGCTTTTGCTTCTGAACCCATTATAAGTAGTTCTAACTAAAACACCATTTAAAAACTGGACAAGGTTGGTTAATATAATGTGGAAATGTTATAAGAACTTTAGATATTTTCATAATATTTAATTCAAAAATTAATGGTCACACCCCCATGACACGTGCAACCACCCCAATGATGACCACTGAGCTGCAGCAAGAAGGGCCCCAGGTTCCTGAGCTGGGGTGGTGAGGGGGGGAGGGCTTTTGCCCCACCCCCCCTGACATCTGCAACCAGCCCAGCAATGACCAAGCCACCATTGGAAGCCCCCTGGTCTCCCCTGTGGGAATGAGGGGTGCCACAGGCCTTGATCCTGCCCCTCCTCCTTCCTCCATCCTATTTCCTTCCCCTTTCCGCTCTCTCCCTTCCTCTCAAATGCTCTGCAACCACATCATAGATTGTAAAAAAATAATTAAAAAAGAAAAAGAAAACAAACAGACAAATAAACAAACAAGTAAGGGAAAAAAACATATATCATAAGTTAGATACTAGTATGGAAAAAGGAGAAAAATAAAGCAAGGGAAGAAAACAGTAAGGAGGGGAAGGAGGATAGTTATGATTAAGATAGAGTGGAATGGGAAGCCTTCAGTGAAAAGTCACATGTATGCAAGAAAAAAATAAATTGAACAAAAACAAAAATTGAGAAAAATAAATATTCAGTTAATAGGGAAGAAGAAGAATTAATATCAAGGATATAAAAGATGAAAATTCTCTTAAGAAGAAAAGGTGGTTGCTCCTGTCCAAAATGGGAGAGTAATGAAGAAATGATGAGCACTGAGTTGGGAACACTAAGCAAATGATCTTAGATGGAAATAAACGGAAATCCACATCTCATCTTCAGAGGAGAGAATGATCAGTGAAACAAAGATAAGAAGTCAGTGGAGAGAAAAAGAGCCAGAGAACAGGGAGAAAATAAAGGATAAGAACAAAATAAAGAAAGAGAAAGATAAAAGAAGGAAAGATGGAAAGGGAGCAAAGGAACACAAACGTACACCCGTGTGTATGCTTCATTTCTAAGAGATATAGAAAGCATCATAAGCTGGGTTGCTGGCAGCTAATACTACAATGAACAGGGGCCCAGGCAGGCAGCAGCAAGCAAGAAGAGCTACCACAAGTCAAGTCAATCCTGCATTTCTAAGTAACTGAGAAAAAGACAACACTAAACTTCTTGAACCTGCTCCAAAGCTAAGTCCTTGGACATCTATTCTTCATGTAGTAGTTTTTGTAAGAGATGAAAATAACTGGTGAATTTGACATTGAATCCGACATATGACTTCTGTGGGGGAAGAAAAAGTAACAAAAGATGGGCCAGTCCTTTTCATCTTGAGCAAAATTATATAAGTTCACAAACGAGTTTATTCAGCGTGACATGCAACTTGGCTAATGAATACAGGTAAATCTTTTTGATAACTCTGAAGTGATTTTGTCTTTAAAAAAAAATCCAACCACAGCCTGCTTTCCCCATGCACAATATTATCATGGCTATGTCCATTAGAGAAAAGTTCACAGTCCACTTGGACAGCAAGGCATACTTACCACAATATGTATAAATAAGTTTGGAATCAATAAAGCGTACTCTGAGATTATGGAGCACAGCAGGCTCATGAAGATAGCTGAGGGCTGTGAGGTCATTTTCACCAACAAGTATGTCAGGGTTTCGTAAATGAGGCAGCTCCTTGGTGTTTGGATCTAGACGGTATTCCAAATCCTGAAAATGCACAAGATATAGCATCTGGATAAATTATGGCAATGAAGGCGAAACAGGCCCATGCACTTCGCTTATTTCATATTCTTGATTTGCATCTCAGCTATTAAATGCATTCTTCTCTTGGCACCTTCTAATATCACAGAAACTGGTGGAAATGGCAAACAATAAAGAGAAACTTCTTTTTCATTAGGCACATTAACTTGTATTAACAATTTTTGCTAATATAGCTTAAGAAGTCATAGCCTACACCTTTTTTACCCAGTTACTGAACCAAAAGTTTTTAATTTATAAGTGAGTGACATCACTCTTCCCCAAAAGTGATAACCTTAATTTAATCATAAGGAAAGAGCATGATGGGACATTCTACAAAACCTTGACCAACACTTAAAAAGTACCATGGTTATAAAAGGCAAAGAAAGACTGAAGAACTGTCACAAGTTGGAAGAGACTAAGGAGGCAGGACAATTAAAATGCAGAGTAGGACCCAGTTTTGAAACAAACAAAAAAAAGTATTAGTAGAAAAACTGGTGAAATCTAAACAAAGTCTGTAGTTTAGTTATAGCAATGTTAATGTCCTAGTTTTGATTACTGTATATTGGCCATGAAAGGTGTTAAAATTAGGGGAAGATGGGTGAAGGGTATATGGGAACTCTATTATCTTTGTAACTTCTGTAAATCTAAAACTATTTAAAAAACTGAGCACAGCTATTTGTCAAATGTCTATCTTGGAGCCATCTACTTTTTAAACTATTTGCAAAAATCCACTGTGGTCAAGTAGAATAACACTTACTGATGGATTTTGGACGTGGCTGGCACCATTGTGCACACAATAAGCACCAGCACGAAACAGCCGCCAGCTTCGTCTTCCACTCCACACCCAGCCCTTCCCCCCATCCTTCCCTTTACGAGAAGCCTCCCGACTTAGAAACAACTTTCCGGCTTCCAGCTTCCGCATTGGTGCAGTTCTCCACCTAATGGTCCCTCCCCCCCTATATTTCACGCCCCAAAGCTAATATAAACTCTCGCAAACCCATTGTTGGGGCTGTCCTTCATTTTAAGGACAGTCCGGCAGATTTCTTTCTTCAATAAAGCTTGAATAGTACCCGGCATCTCGGCTCACTTCCTTTCACTTACCCTAGAGTAAAAAATTCTGTGTTCAAATCCCACTTCAAATCCCCAAAGCCACTTTCTGGCTATGTGACCTCAAGCTTTTACTACTTAATGTCTCTAAGCCTTGGCTTCCTTATTTGGAAAGTAGTGATAATATTGTTAACATGAGAAAATACTGCCCCAAGTGCCTAACATTGTACCTAATGCAGAGCAGATGACTAATAAATGTTGAATAAGTTCATTCGTCAGTTTGGCATTCGAGCCCCTCCCAATCTGGCCTACTTCTTCCCTGCCTTATTCCCAGCTAGTCTCTTCGCCTCAATTTTGCTCTCCTGAAATCTGTCCTCCATACTGCTGCCAGTGAGTTCTCTCTAAAACACAAACCTGGCACCATTCCTGTTTAAAAACACTACAAGCACTCCCATAAGCATACCAGTTGAAGTCCAAGAGTTTAGCATGAAGGCCCTCTGTGATCTGGTTTCCACCCCCATCTTCTTGCCAATACTGTATTCTCACTTCCCATTCCAACAACACAGAACTTGTGTGGTTCCCAAAATACACACTATTTTGTATGCCTCCCTGCCTTTGAACATCTTTCCCAGATCCCTAAAATGCATTCCCCCTCGTCTACTCATTTTTTAGACAGTGCCTCCCTGACCCCTCACCTTCAACAAGCTGCTGACTACTCATTCCTCTCTTCTACTTTTGTTTCTAACATATTTTAATTATAACATGTGCTGCACTATTTGTATGTCCATCTTTCTTATCTGACAGTGACATCAAAGATCATACCTGTAGCCACCTCTTAACATAGTACATACGAGGTACCTTAACATCTATTTGTTGAATTAAGATACACACCTTTCTAAATCTCCACTCCAGTAAATGTGATATTCACTATCTCCATAACACATTCCAATCCTCAAAGGGTCTACTCTTTTCTCTTTGTGAATTCAAATTCTATCTAGCTTTGAAGACCCAGTCAAAATTCTTCTTTCTCCTTGAAGCCTTCCCTATCAAAGCAGCCTATAATATTTCCCTGTATTAGGATCCTAAAGTCCTTACTGTCCTCATAGTATAGCAGAGTGGTTATGAGTACTCACCACGAAGGCAAATTTCCTAGCTTCAAATCACAGCTTCATTCCTTAATACCTATGAAACTCTGAGCAAGTCATTTAAACTCTCTGAGCCTCAGTTTTCTCATCTGTAAAATGAGAAAAATAATGCCCTATCTCATAGCATTGTTGTGAGGGTTAAATGAGTTATATAACATGTAAAGCATCCAGAACCATGTCTGGCACAGAGAAAGTACTCAATACATGTTAACTGTTAGGATAGTGTTACTTATTTGGTAGTTTATCACATATTTATCTTTTGACATCTTTAGAATCATGCTATTGAACTACTCTTTATCTCCTGTATTTTATTTAAATTTTCGTGTATTTATATCTAGTTTCCTTGGCTAGAGTACAAATTCTTTGTTGTTGTTGTTATTTGGCCAGTATGGGGATCCACACCCTTGACCTTGGTGGCATAACACCATGCTCTAAACAACTGAGCTAACCGGCCAGACCTAGACTACAGATTCTTTATAGGAAATTAATGTCACAAAAGTTTTTAAGAAAAGAGTATAACATTCCCTGTCAAATGTAGAGGGGAGATTAAAAAGGGTAGAACTAAGACAAGTTCTTTCATACAGTGAATGCAGACAGAAAAGTATAGACATACAATTGGTTTTAAGCTTTTCTGGTCACTAGCAAAGTGCTTCATATATAATAGCTTCTTAGTAAATATTTATCAAATGATTGGTGGTAGCAAATATCAAATCTTAATTAGGCTGGTGCCTTAGATGATGTTTTCTTAGTTAATATGAAATAATTTTAATGCTAGCCTAAACAAAATCCAGATATTTGGGGGAGGATTAAATGTAAATTTAAACCTGATAATCATAATAAATTCATAGAACAAAATAATGTATTTTTAAAGTGTCTGTTATTTTCACTAACATGTCACTGACAACTATTAGGATAGAAAACTGAGTTTACCATTTTTATCAACTTAGTGAGTAAAAATAGGAGATTAATTTAAAATTCCAATAGGGCTTAAATAAGTCACAATAAACTTACACTTTTGAACTTACTTTACTTTAGGCCAATGACAAGATATAAAAGGGAAATTCTTACCTTTCCCTCTTCGAGGTGAAGCAGGAGAACTTTATCTCCTGGTTTATAATCTTTGAGCAGCTCTGCTGACTTCCAAACTTCCTCAGGATCAGGTATCCAAACCCTGGCAAACTAGAAGACAAAAAGAAAAAAAATTAAACTAGCATATCAATTACTTTACAATGATACATAAAACATACCATGACTTTATTTATAATTAAACAATTTACAAAAAAAGAGACCTTGGCCAATATAAAATTTACTTTTTAAGTTAGTAAACAAAAGTGTTTTTGCCCCAGTAGTACTTACTATTCTCAAAAAGTGTGTTCTGAAAAAATAGCTATAATTAAAGCTTGACTTTGCTTTATATAGTAAATACCATCTGAAAATGCAATTATAGGTAAAAATATATGTATAAAACCTATTTTTGAAGCTCTGGTGGGGTAGGTCTGCGAGTTTAGGCAGCAAAGCCATTTTTTTCATGGCAGGGTTTACAATCTGAATTTTTGACTGTGGTTTTCATCCTGTGCTCTGTACAGCCTCTTATTTTTCAGATATACCTCAGGAGCCACTATGGAGGGGAGAAGAGGAGTAAGCTTGTGGCTTGCAGCCACAGCTATTTTACATACTGGGTGTCTGGAGTTTTCTTTGAAGAAAGAGTTCTGTTTTGCTAATAAAAAAGTTGAAAAAAAATTGTTATTTAGTATTTCGCCTTCATTATTCTATCAAGATGAGTGGAAAACAGTAAAAATGGTACGTTTGGCCAGTAATAAGCTTGGCTCTCGTGAGTTCAATACCATGAAAAGAGGCATGGTAATCATCAGGGGTTTGTTCCTAAAGCAGCAACTCTTTAGCCCAACTAGATGTTCTCTGGATTTAATCCAGATAATTACATGGTCCATTTTGAAGAAAAAGAACAAAATATATTAACATAAACGAATCCTTCAGAACACCTCATTGAAGAAGTGTTTTATGACAGGCCTCTCCAGGAAGGAATTTTCCTTGAAAACATGTGCACATGAAACCTTTAATGCCCGTTATCACGAACAGATCACACATGAAAACAGGACATGCTAGAGTCGGTTGGCAAAGGGAAGACAATCATGGCTGACATGGGGCAGACTGAACCTGGTCTCTGGCCTGTATTTGTACACTTATTTCATGTAAATTTCCTTCTAGATTTCATTTTTTATAATGACCAGGGTGCTAATCCACTTGCAGCTTCAAGCTTTAGGAACATTTGGATTTGACTATGTTACATATGGGGCTACTTCCTGCTGAACTGTGATAATGCAACAGATATTCTAAGTACTGGGCACAAAGATGTTCTAAAAGCTTGTAATATGGCCATTCCCAAGTGAAAGAGAAATTTATATGATCTAGTGATAGCCTTAAAGATGGGAGAAGGAGAGTGAAAAGAAAGTGTGAAGGAAAGTAGAGGAAGATCTGAGATTCTAGAGAATTTAAATTAAATATCTCCTGAAAGAAAAACATGTCAGAATGCTACTGTCCTAGATATTACCTTAACTAATGAAGATTTTTAAGCTTCCTATTGGGAAGCTGCTGTATTATAGTGTAGTAATCTCCAACTACTGAATTCCAGGTCTGGTAAAATTTAAAAAAAAAAAGTTTGGGGACTGCCATAAAGCTACCAACTTCTAGTTTTGCCAAGTAAGATTACAAAACCAGTAAGTGTTAACAGTACTTAGAGATAAATAGTGCGAGGCTAAGGCCTTTACTCTTATCAGAGGCATGATATTTAAATACAAATCTACAATCAAATATCACCATCATTTTATAAAACAAAGGACATTTTAACACTACAACATAGGAAAAATAACCATTACAGTAACATCCAAATCACTTACGATGGTCTTACAAGGGCCTTCAAGGGTCTGTCTTTTCCTACCCCTTCCTATCTCTTAGCTGGAGTCACACGGGCCTTATTTTAGTTCTTCAGGGACACAGGTTTGTTCATGTCTCCAGAGCCTTTGCCTTTGCTATTCCCTCTGCCTGCAATGTAGTTCTCTCAGATCTTCTCATGCCTGCCTCCTTCTCACTATTTAGATTTTAGCTCAGATGTAAATCTCTTCAGAGGCCTTCCCACATCTTTCTAGCTATAATCACTCCCAACTACCATTACTGTTCTCTATTTTATTCAGAGCTCTTATTACTAACTGAAATTATGTACTGTTATGTTATTATTCATCTACTTATTTGTTATCTCTCTTTCCCTATGAGAACATATGCTCTGTGTCTGTGCTCTTCAACATTATATCCAGTGTTACAACAGTACCTGACACACAGATGGTGCTTAGTAACTATTTGTTGAAAGAAGCTCAGAATAAAAGGCATCTTCTTAAATTGAATATAAATAGTATGGTGAAAAACTCACCCAATTGCTTTATTTTATTCTTATTGTTAGACCCATACAAATTTTTCTCTGAACAATTTGCAGAGGAGAGAGTACTGAATTAGGCTGTGAGTTCTAACCCAGGGCTACCCAATTGAAAATTAGTCTTTATTTTGGGCAATTGCAAAATGGCAATGACAGCGATACTTAACTCAAGGGGTTATACACATACAAACTTTGTGAAAAGCATAAACCAATATATAAGCACAGTGTGGTACTGTTATTGTTTTTTCCACAGGAAGTGATTCTTAATGTCACACATCAAATATATTACTGAAATTTATTTTATAACTTTCCCCCCAGGTACACAGTCCATAAACAGAGTAATATCTATTCGTATGACTAAAATCTTACTCATTCAATAAATACATCCATGTACCAACTGCTCTCACTCTGAGGCTCACTTTACAAAGCCAATATTTTTATAATTTTCTCTGGAAGGATTTACTGGTTCTAGAAAAGATATATAAGTATATTAGGTTCAGAGTCATTAAATGACCTACTGCCTTGACTGATGAAAACACAAAAAAGCAAAATGTGTCCAAGTGAGTTTGCAGAAGCATGACTGCACCTAAACATGAGAAGACTTTAAACTAAATCTAGAAAGCCTTTGGCAGTGGTAAGCTCTAGCTCAGATTTCCAAAAGCATTTTGCAACAAGTAGGTACCTTGCCAAAGGTTAAATTTCCAAGAGCTAGATGTTAACAACCCTTACAGATAAGTAGAGGGAGGCTAAGGCCCTTGCATTCACCAGAGGTAAGATATTTAAACACCAGACAACACCCGATAACCAACTTCCCCCCCTTTTTTTTTTTTTTTTTTGTTTTTTGTCTTTTTTTTTCCGTGTCCGGCAACGGATCGCAACCCTCAGTGTTGTCCCCGCACCGGACCGGGGACCGGCAATGGGATCGCAAGCCTCGGCGTTGCTCCCGCGCCTCGCTCAGCCAGTGAGCGGGAGCCGGTCTGTATGTGGGATCCGAACCCTCGGACGGGAGCGCCGCCGCGCTTCCCAAGCGGCGCACTATCCAGTGCGCCACCGGGCCGGCCCTACCAACTTCCCCTTTATGTTAGCTCTATCTCTTGGGAAAGTATCCAAAAAGAAATAGGTCAGAAACCAGTCTATTATTACCACTGCCTTTTTGTGGTTCTTTCCCATCTTAACCCTTAAAGAGTTCAGTGACTAAAGAAACAACTATACCAGAATTGGGTCAATTTGGGGGCATATACCTTAGGTGTTGAAACAGAGGGAAATCTCAACCTAACATGCCCCTTCCTATTGCCTCTGTCACCTCAGACCCTACTTCCCACTCTTCCCCCAGGCCCCAAAGCAAATATATATGGCAGCCCTGAAGAACAGGACTAAACTTGTCCATCAAGTATGAAGACTGGGGGAAGGAAGGAAAGAAGACAAAGCCCCTAGATCTGGTGAGAAACCTAGAAATGGGACACAGCAGTAAGAGTCAGGCAGGAATTACTAACAGGGTGGACCTTTGCCCACTAAGTCCGCTGAGGGGCTTCCTGGTGAAACAACAGCAATTAGGAAAAGATAACCCTGGCCAAAGTGAATCAAACTGGACACAGCCCCCAGCAAGGTGAGGGAAGGACTTCTGTCATGGATCTCAGCTCTGTCATGATTAGCTAACGAAGAGTCAGGATTTCTTGCAATGCTCTCATTCCCTCTTTTCTACTCACACTACTCTACTGTAGTTTCCCATTACCTTGTGAGAGTCCCTCAAATATCTCACTTAGACATCCTTACTTTTAAGACCTTACTTTTATTTATTTATGGATCTATCACCTCCCACTATGTACCACTATTGACTATATACTCCTTTAAAGCCATCCTTAAATTCCCTCTAAGGTTGGCCAAGTTCCTTGCCACCATTTGGTGGGCAGCACATAACAGTTGATTTTAAGACCAAGGGAAAGAAAAGATATGACAATTGAGATGAAAGGTAGCAAAGACAAACTCTATAGGCTTGGCTCATGATTTTCCCCAGAGTCACACCAAGGTTTAAGGTCACAAAGTGTGGTTGAAATGGGGCATTAGTCAGAGACTTAGAGAAGAGAGATTAAGACTCCTAGGGTCCTAGGCAGGAGCCGAGGGCAGCCCCCACTGCCTGGAAGGAGGTAAGGAGCCAAGGGCAGTACTCCCTGCCTGGAAGCAAGCAAGGAGCATGCCAAAAACACCACTTCCATGTGGTGGCCCACCACAGCTACTGCCACAGTCATGACTGCCCCAGTAGCAGCTCACTGCCACAGTAGTAGCCACAGCCACCATGCAAGGAAGCCTGCCACTCAACTACAGTGACACAAGGAGAGTCATCAGTGAAGACCAGAAAAAGAAGAGGACATCTCCCTCCTCAAAGCTCACTTCAGAGTAAAAGCAGCAGCAACTGCTCTACCACATGACCAGACATCAATGTAGAGATAGTAAAAATATGAAAATCCAAGAAAATATGACACCACCAAAAGAACACAGTAATTCTCAAATACCAGACCCTACCGAAAAGGAAACCCTTGAAATGACTGAAAAGGAATTCTGAGCAACAATCTTAAGGAAACTCACTGAGATACAAGAAGACTCAGTTAGGCAACATAATGAAGTAAGAAAAAAAATCTGGGTTATGAAGGAGGAAATTTATAAAGAGATTAATTCCTTAAAAAAGAATGTAGCAGAACTCACAGAACTGAAAGATTCACTCAATGAAACAAA